GTGAGCCTCTGCAACTTCTGCAGGTGTCACAGATAGGGAGCCTGAGCCCCTGCATCTTCTGCACCTGTCGCAGTTCGGGAGCCTGGAAGCTGCCACTGCCCAGCCCGGATGGAGCAAGTGTAGTTGGTAGGGGGGGGGTGGCTAGTAGTAGTAGTAGTAGTAGTAGTAGTAGTAGTATTAGTAGTAGTAGTAGTAGTAGTAGCAGCAGTAGTAGTAGTAGCAGCAGCGGCAGCAGCAGCAGTAGTAGCAGTAGCACATAGTAGTACAACCTGTACATGTCGTACGAGTAGTGGTGGTAGTCGTGGTAGTAATAGTCGTCGTGGCAATGGAAGTGACAATGATAGTGATGGTGACAGTGTCAGTAGTAGAAGTCACAATGGCGAGCGTGGTTATTGCTTAAGGCTTCAGGGGCTTCTCATGGTCCGTGGATCTCTGCTTTCTTCTGGTCGGCCATTCGGGGGGTTGCTGTCGAAGACAAAATGCCTGTTGCCGGAGTTGGATTGGGTTGATGCAAGCCGAGTGCCTACACCTGCAACGCCCAAATCTTCAGCCCCGCTATGCAGTCCTGCATCCGAAGAGCCTGGATAGGATTCGACCCACGCTTTCTGGTCTTCGAGTTCATTTCCGGCTTTCTCCTACGGCCGCGCCAGGCTGACCACAGGGCGTTTGCGCTTCGGGCTTGTAGAGTACGGGGATGAGATGGTTTGGCATTCTGCTAATTGCGTCGGGATTTGGATTTCGGGTTGGGAATAAGATCTTGGAGTTTCAGCTGTGCCACTGCGGGATATGGACGTGGTTCAGGTTGGGGTTTCTTTTTGCGTAATATACCACTATGCGCAATGCATGCCGATCTGGCGATTTTGCTATGTTTCATTTTGCATGGTTGCTGTCATAGCAAAATTACTTTTTGGGGCTCTCATAACGACAGGTTCTACTACGATGATGATGACAGGAAAACCCGGCTAAACCCTCAAGACTCCTACTTCTGTTTGTTCACCACCGCCATCATGACGACGACAGCAAGAGCAAGAACAAGGACAAGAGCTATTGCTGCCATTACAACTACAACAACAACTACTGCTACTCCTGCTGCTGCTGCTGCTACTACTACTACTACTACTACTACTACTACTACTCCTACTCCTACTGCTTCTGCGACTGCCACTGACACTGCCACTGCCACTGCCACTGCCACTGCCACTGCTGCTATTATTATTACTATTATTATTATTATTACTACTACTACTACTACTACTACTCCTACTCCTACTCCTACTGCTTCTGCGACTGCCACTGACACTGCCACTGCCACTGCTGCTACTATTACTATTATTATTATTATTATTACTACTACTACTACTACTGCTACTGCTACTGCTACTACTACTACTACTACTACTACTACTACTACAAATACTACTACAAATGCGAACAGACTTCGATGCCTC